TCACTGGGGTGTCCGAAGACAGCCTCTAGGGGCAATGCCAGGTCTGAAGAAGGATTTGGCCAAAGGTTCCCTGTCTGCCATTATTCCTTGGAAGCTACAGAAAACAGGTTTTCTACTGTCTGTTGGCCTCCGCCTCCTTCTTATGTCTGAGCCCAGGAAACTGGTGCTGCCTTGTCCAGTGGGTCTTACGGGGAAGGAGCACTGGCATGGCCTTCCAGGTTTTGTCTGCCCCGCAGGCATTCTGTTACAATAGCAGTGGTTGTCTTTCCTTCTGGAAAACCACCTCTTCTCCCTGTAGTTAGTGTGGGGCTGACCCCACCCTTGGCTACAGTGGGCATGTGACCTCAGCCTGGCCAATCAGAGTCATCCATTCTGCTGGGCCCAGTGTTGAATGGAAGATGGTCACTTTACCATGCCAGGCCAATGAGAGTTTGCACTGACAGGTTGGCCAGCCCTCAGCGCTCTGAGGATTGGGGCGCTTTCTTTTTTTTTTTCTTTCTTTTTGAGACAGAGTTTCACTCTTGTTGCCCAGGCTGGAGTGCAGTGGCGTGATCTCGGCTCACTGCAGCCTCCACTTCCCAGGTTCAAGGGATTCTCCGGCCTCAGCCCTCCAAGTAGCTAGGATTACAGGCGCCTGCCACCATACTTGGCCAATCTTCTTTGTATTTTTAGTAGAGTTGGAGTTTCACCATGTTGACCAGGCTGGTCTCGAACTCCTGACCTCAGGTGATCCACCTGCCTTGGCCTCCCAGGGCTCTCTTTTATACTTCTGAAATTGCTGGGCTGTAAGATGTAGCCTAGAGCTTCTTGTGACCATCTCTGCCATCGTGAGGGAGGAACTTGCCAGAAATTAAGCGAAAACAACGGAAGAAAAGCAGACAGATGGAATGAGAGAGGCAGATTCCTGAATGCAGCTGTGCCCAAAGCCTGTTAGCCCTTGATATCTCAGTCACATGAGCCAGTGAATTTCTTTTTGGCTTATACCAATTTGAGATAGGTTTATGTCTCCTGAAACAAAAAGATTTCTTGCCTATGGTCTTCTTCCTGACCCCACAGAGCAGCCCTCCATGGATAAGGCCTAGGTCCACCCCAGGCATTGGGAGGGAGACTGGGGTTCCTATGACTGTGGACGTCTCTTGCTAGCCCTAGGTTCAACCTGGCTGGATCTCAGGCCCCTGCCCTGTGAGGCCTCACCTGCCCTTTCAGAACAACTTCACCCCCGGCCCTGACCCAGCTTCCTTTCCCTCAGCCCCCAGTCAGCCCCTTCCAGCTGTTTCTCACTCTCCTTTCTCCCTTTTCCTCTCCTTTATCTTTTTGAAGTTGAGATCCCTTTAGCCAACCCCTAAAATAATCCCATAGTTGCCAAAGACCACTATTGTGTTTTGTGGCAGCATATGACACTTCTGGGAGCCTTCTCTCTCTCCTTCTAAGCTAATACATTTATTTTATAATTGTAAAACAATACATTTAAAAATTAACCATTTTAACGGTTTTTAAGTGGACACTTTGGTGCGTGAAGCACATTCCCATTGTCATGCAGTCATCACCACCATTCGTGCACAGAATCTTTTCATCTCGCAAAACTGCAACTCCGACCTCATTCAACACTAACTCCTCATTCTCCCCGCGCCCAGCTCCTGGCAACGATGCCCTCCTTCCTGTCTCTACAGACTTTCCTACCCAGGTGCTGCATTTGAGTGGAATCATCAGCACAGACGGTCCCGGCTCACAGGATTTTTCAACTTTACAATGGTGCGAAAGTGACACCTATGCAACCAAAACGCTACTTCAAGTTCCCATACAACCATTCTGTTTTTCACTGTCAGCACAATATTCAACAAACGACCTAAGATGTCCCAACTTTCATTATAAAATAGGCTTCGTGTTGGATGAGCTTACCCAAAATCAGGCTAATGTAAGTGTTCCGAATAAGGCAGGCCAGGCTCAGCTTCGATGCTCTGAAACTTAGGCGTATTCAATGCATTTTCAGCCTACAATATTTTCAACGTGTGAGGGGTTCACCAGGACGTAACTCCATTGTAAGTTGAGGAGCGTCTACATTTGTTCCTTCATCACCGATTTATTTTATTTAGCATTATGTCATCAAGGCTCATCCATTGCATAGCATGGGCCAGAATTTCCCCATTTTTTGAGACTGAACAATGGTTCATTGTACGTATACACCACATTTTCTGTATTTGTTTGTCATGAGTGGCACAAGGTCAGATATAACCAGGTCCTTGCACGTTTATGTCTTTTCACAAGGTCAGACTTTTATTGATGCTCTTTCAACCACAAAAGCCACAAGCTACATGGAGTTCCCAAAGTGGTAATTCTCCTTAGTACCCCACCCTCCATTCACTTGGTCACCAAAGCCACGGGCACACACATTCAAGACAATCTGGAAATCAGTCAATATTACAAGCCATACATAGTAGTATATTAATTAAATATATAAATGTATATTAATTAAATGTATAAATTAAATATATAAATGCTATAGATACTATTACAGTATATTAATTAAATATATAAATGCTATAGATTAAACATTCCACATGAAACAAAATAAACGTTTGACATCAAGAGAAAAGGGGATATGAAAAATGGTTAATAAACCAGTCCACAGAGAGTGATACAGACAACAAGAGTGTCCTGGCCTGATCTGGACGGATATCAATGACGTGCAAAGAACGGTCTTTGATTTGGGCAGCCCTTCAGTGGCAAATCCTGGGTGCTGATCACAAGGCACAGCAGACAGTGCCTCTTAAGACAGCTATCTCAAGCTGGCAAAGCCCTGCTCTTTTTATAGCTACAGGGTCCCCTGGTGATGACAGTAAAAGGGCATGCCTGGTTATGTTCTTATCTGATTATGGACTGTCTCGGTTTATTAGGCAAATATCTGGTCCCTGTTGACATGACACTATTTGAAGTGTAAGATGGAGTATTTTCCTAACATGGAGTCACTTATGTCAAGGGCACTCTCTACCTGGTTCATCTCTCAATAGACTCTGTGTTACTTAGACCTTTTGCATATTGTAAATAATACTGTTTTGAATACAGGTGTACAAATCTCTCTTCAGGTCCCTGCTTTCAGTTCTTTTGGGTACGGAACCAGAAGTAGAATTCCTGGATCATGTGGTAATTCCATTTTTCATGTTTAGAGGATCTGCTCCAGTGTTTTTCATTGCACCAGGCTTCAATTTCTTCTCATTGTCACCAACACTTGTTATTTTCTGTTTTCTGTTTCTTCCATGGTTTTTTTTTGAGACAGAGTCTTCCTCTGTCACCCAGGCTGGAGTGCAATGGCGCGATCTCAGCTCACCACAACCTCTGCCTCCCAGGTTCAAGCGACTCTCCTGCCTCAGCCTTCCGAGTTTTTTTTTCTTTTAGAATAGCTATCCTAATGCTTGTGAGGTGGTATCTCACTGTAGTTTTGATTTGCTTTTCCCTAATGATTAGTGATGTTGAGCATCTTTGCATGTACTTTATGGCCATTTGTACATCTTCTTTGTCGAAATATTCATATCTTAGAGAGTTCCTTATTCATTTTATTTATTCTTTAGCTTATTCATCCATCAGCATTTCTCAAGCACCTATGGTGTGTCAGGTATTGTTCTATGTGCTAAGCTACAACAATGACAAGACAAAACAAACGAAAAACAACCAAACAAAAGAGAGCTGCCTATCTTCATCTATTTATAACATAATTCTTGCCTTGGAGGGCTTGTCACAAGAATGAAATAAAGTGATGTTTGTAAACCTCCAGCAGAGGATGGGTCTAAGTCAGCTCCTCCCTGCATCTCCTCCCCTCACTTCCAGGGTGCCCACACTCTTCCTCTGCTCTTCCTCCATCCCCCCTGCCATCTTCTTTCCACACCTTTTCCTGCATTTTTGCTTTATTGTGTGAATTTCAGTGGCTGGTGCATCTCAGAGCCAGGGCCACCATGCCTCCAGGGTCCTGGTGGGGGATTTCCACCCCTGCTTCAACTTTTCCTCTGAAATATCAGAACACATTTCAAAACACCGAATGTTCATTATTAACCCTTCCATGGAACCATTGTATGTCTAAGCCCAGATGGAACCTCTATGAAGAAAGCTGCCATGTCACAATAACAGCCTTTGTCTGATACACATATTAGGAACCTTCAATGAAGCAAGAGATACGTCAAGGCTGGAAACAGAGAACTCAAATATCTGCAAGGAAGATGGATGCAGCATGTGAATGGGAGCAATCGAGCATTGACCCTGAGTCGTGAACAACTGGCTAAAATACAAGCGACCATCCATCAACTTCTGGAAACTTCTCCCCCTGGAGTGGGAGGGTCTCTTAGCAGTGGCCAAACAAGTCTTCTTGTGTCCTTAGGAAGAGATGAACGGGGTCCTGATAAATGGCCCCTTCTTCTCCAGGCTTCTCCTGGGGGCTTATTTCCATGTGTCCAGTGAGTGGACGGGCCTCAGAGGCTGCCAGCTTTCCCCGTTCTCTGGAGAGATGCATTCCACACTGTCTGCTGCTCCTGGACAGAGAAATTCTAGACGGGAGGGAAAACATGTGAGGCTGCCAGCCCTGGCCTCCTCTTCCATCAGGAGCTCCTCAGGCCCCTGTGTCCCGGCGCCAAGCAGCCCACACAGATGGGTTCTGTTCACTTCTCTCCGGGCACACATGGCCCAGATATTGGATTCACCACCAGCTTTGATGTATGGTGATGGGAGCTGGGACTCTGCCAGGTGCAGATGACTTGGAGGTATTCAGATGACAGACGACTCTGGGTCTGGGATGGGGCAGGCATGAGTCTCACAATGTACCTTTCTGCTGGGACAGAAGCATCCACAAGGGTCCAGGCTCAGCAGAAAAATGCATTCCCCCGTGAGGATGTGGAGGAGGGGCTGTAACTTCAGCATGTCCCCATCACATTTCTCTCCATGGCCACCTCCCAGCCTCCTTCTAACAACCTTGCTCCCTGACTGTCCCCCGACTCCCAATTCCCAATTTCCTAGAGGCCAACCTTTTGTCCCTTTCCCGGCTGCCCATCCTTGGTATGAAAGCTTCCTGCCTTCTGCCCCATTGAAACTTCTCTGTTTTCTTAGACCTCATCAAAAATACCAGATGCTATTCTTAGAGCTTAACTAATCTGGTAAGTGAAGGTGCACCAAGTATTGAAAGACACGTGGCTATGCAGTTGAGTGAGTGGAATTCCTGTTCAGACATCATTTCTAATTAGCATGGGAGATTAGGAAGCCATTGTTTTCTGTGATGATAAGACATTGTTTGCACCCAACTGAACATCTCTCATTGGCTTAACCAAAAGAATGGAAAGGAAACAAGAAAGATGGGAACTTCATCAGTGTGTGGTCCATTGTCCAATTTCTTTTCTTTTTTTTTTGAGATGGAGTCTCATTCTGTTGCCCAGGCTGGAGTGCAATGGTGCAATCTTGGCTCACTGCAACCTCTGCCTCCCGGGTTCAAGTGATTCTCCTGCCTCAGCCTCCCAAGTAGCTGGGATACAGGCACCCACCACCACACACAGGTAGTTTTTGTATTTTTAGTAGAGACAGGGTTTCACCATATTGACCAGGCTGGTCTCAAACTTCTGACCTTGGTATCTACCAGCCTTGGCTTCCCAAAGTGCTGGGATTACAGGTGTGAGCCACTGCACCCAGCTGGTCCACTATCATTTAGTGCTCTTTCTTTCTCTGGGATGTTCTGTGCTGGTGGATGCAAAAGCATTTTGTAAATTGGCAGGACACAATCTCGGGTAGTGACATTCTCTGGTTTGTCGGTGGAGCAATTTTGTTCATTTTCTTTTCTTTTTGAGACAGGATCTTGCTCTGTCACCCAGGCTGGAGTACTGAGGCATGATCTCAGCTCACTGCAGCCTCGACCTCCCAGGGTTCAAGCCATCCTCCCACCTGTCAGCCAAGTAGCTGGGACCACAGGCTTGCGCCACCATGCCGAGCTAATTTTTTGTATTTTTTGTAGGGACAGGGTTTCTCCATGTTACCCAGGCTGATCTCAAACTCCTGGATGGAAGCAATCCTCCTGCCTCAGATTCCCAAAGTGCTGGGATTGCAGGTGTGAGCCACCACACCCGGCCCAGTTGTGTTTCTGACCCTAAATTCTGATGGTAGAAGGCAGAGTTTTAGCAAATCTCCGAATTCAGGTACCCACTTGAAGCTGGGTAATCCAGATCCCACCAGAATAATTGCAGCTGCTGTATATTGAACGCCTGCCACAGGCCACATCCTATGTCAGGCAGGGCGCTCTAACATACATGTACCACTGACCCTCACTAACCACTGCTGAGACTCAGATTTATCAGCCCATTTTTCAGATGGGAAACTTGAGGTTCAGGGGCTTGCCAAAGGCTGCATGGCAAGAAAGAAGCCTGGGCAGGTTGGAGCCTCGCAGGACTTACACGACCCCAGGGTCTGTGTTCTCTCTGTGGCCCATGCTCCTTTCTGCTTTGTGCTGGACTCTCCGTGTAATCAGAATGTGTGTTTCAAATAAGCCCAGCTCAAGGCTTTGCTGTGTTTGTAAAGGGATTTTCTCTAAGACTCACAAAGAACTGTACTTTCTTGGAAGGCAGAATTGCCATCTCCTGATGTATCATTTGAGCACTTGGCATGCTCCATCTTCTTCTCTCCTTGCCTTTCCACTTGTCCTCTTCTCTTCTGACTACCCAGATAAAAAGATCCTTTATTACAAGAAACAAAATCTCCAATACAAAATGATTTAGAATCCTATGAAAAGAGCTGCTGGCTTTTTTCATTGAAAGCTGCAGCAATAGGGCTGGCTTCAGGTGCAGCTTGATCAAGTTAAGTTGTTCAATTGATGCCATCAGAATCTGGTGTCTTTATATCTTAGCTCAGACAGACTTTCCTTTTGTGGCTGTAGCATTTTTCATCTCTTCTTAGATTCAAGGCTTCTGGAAAAGAGTGATCATCTTTGTACCAGCATTCATATATTGATTCATTCATTTGGCAAATATTTAGGGAGTATCACTTTGTTCCAGAATTTTTCTAGGTGCTGGGTATACAGGAGAAAAAACAGACAAAAATCCCTGCTCTCCTGGAGCTTTCAGTCCAGCTAGGGGGACTCACAATAAATGAATTGACAAGTGAAAATATCAAAGATGTTGTATTTGGTTACTGCAAAAGTAATCGCTGTTTTTGCCATTGCTGGCCCTATCTGTGTGAGCCTGCTGGGTTCACGTGAAGGAAGAGGGGAACCTGAAGAAGGGCAGTGGAGATGACACGCCAGAGTGGGCACCAGGCAAGCTCACACAGATGGGGCCAGCACAGGCGGCATAAGGCAGCCATGGTCTTTATTCACACAGCTCTGTCTTCTTGTCTTTGCTAGATCAGGAATTGGCCACCTATCACCCCCAGGCTAAATCCAGCCCACTCAGCCCATTTCCTTACAGCCCCTGAACTAACAATGGTTTTTACATCACACACACACACACACACACACACACACACACACACACACAAGAATACATGGCAGAGACAATACGTGGCCCTCAAAGCCTAAAATAGTCGCTATCTTGCCCTTTATAGAAAAAGTTTGCCAACCCTTGCCCTAGATTACAAACTAGTTAGAGAAGGCCCTTTTTTCTCCCCATCTCTGTGTCCCTCATGTAATTGGTTCCAATGGCAACATCTGATTGTATCATGATATGATCAACCTTCTGTGATTATCAGTAAATAAATACACAGTGTTTTAGAGAGTGCAGAAAGAATTCAGTTTTGCCAACAGGTCTTTCATACAAAGGAGCCATAATAAATGGCTGGCCTTGAGAGTTAGGTTGGATAAATGGACATCCGCCATTTATCCGTGCATACCATCCATTCTACTTCTCTGGATCACAGCACGCCCCCCACCCTGTTTTAGTTGAGCAAAATTCCCCACTCTCAGCATTTGAGTTTCCTGGGGCATCAGCTGAGGTTCCACAAGGGAGTTCTAGACCTAAACTGGGCCAGTGAGCTGAAATTCTAATTTCTGTTGAAACTCTTGGTCAGGGGATTTCTCTTTTAATTGACTTTGGAAGTGAAGGGAGCTCAGCCTGGGTAGACTGGGGCCACAAGGTCCTCCCTATGGAGTAGGATCACCTGAAGGTGAGCCCAAGCAGGAAGGCAGAGCTGAGAGATGGTGAAGGAGGGAGATTGATCTAGTGATGTCATTGGACCGCATGCATGTGTCCTTGTCATCCAAGCTTCTGTTCCTGACTGTATGACCCTAGTAGAATGATGATCGAATCCATTGACTAAATCAGACCACTTTTGAGAATAAATGGGGGTGCTTATCATCATTGTTTTGGGGACAGCACTATGTTGGGACTGACCCAGGGAAGCCAAGAGGGATGGTCGGCCTGGACCCGGGCCGGTTACCTTAGGCCTCTTGATCTCATATTCTTCATCCAAAGAAGAGCAATCTCTAAAGGGATGTAGTGAGGATTAAATTAATGGACAGATCTTAGAAGACTTCCAGGCATCTAATAAATTATTGAAATGTGTTCGCCATTGTTGTAAATATTGTCTTTGTTATTGTTTGCCCCCATTTAAATCTTCTCTCATGTTTAGAGAATTTTCCATCTCATAATTTCATGCCTTTCTAAATGAAAACTTAGCATTCAATAAGGCATTTTATACTTAATGACTTAGATTGATTTCTCCTGCTTGTAACTAAGATTCATAATGGATAAAACCCTCTAGATGCAACCATGCCTGCAATCGTCTTCTGTACTTTTTAGTTAAATAAACCAAACCTCCATATCCATCTCCTCTTATCTTCTAATGCAGTTTAATTTAGATTCCTGCTGCTTACAGCTGAAGCTTACTAATGAATACACATACATGCTCTCAAAACTGAACAGACAGGAAAGGTGGCCGGAATAGAAAAAAAAAAAATCATTCTTGTGGCTGAGCACAGTGGCTGAAGCCTGTAATCCCAGCACTTTGGGAAGCTGAGGTGGGCAGATCACTTGAGGTCAGGAGTTCGAGACCAGCCTGCCAAAATGGTGAAACCCCATCTCTACTAAAAACACAAAAATTTGCTGGGTGTAGTGGTGTGTACCTGTAGTCCCAGCTACCTGGGAGGCTGAGGCAGAAGAATTACTTGAACCCAGGAAGCAGAGGTTGCAGTGTGCTGAGATCACGCCATGTGCTCCAGCTTGGACAATAGAGCCAGACTCCATCTCAAAAATAAAAATAAACAAATAAAACAACATAAAATTATTCTCACATAAGACTTTTAAACTGCAGTTCCTTAAACACGTCTCCCTCCATTATGTAATACTTCCTCCTTCACTCACGAGCCATTTAAACAGAGTCCCTGGCTACCTAAAAACAAAGCTAAACACAGGCAATAGGTATTTCATATCTTACTACCGGTATTTCTTTCCTGATTGCTGGTTGAGAAAATGCAAATAAAAACTCTAGTCTATTGTTGCTTCCGTTGGGAAGGCTCTATGAATACATTGAATCTTTGCGTGTGCTTTGAACAGGGATTGCCTTTGCAAAAGCCTATCTTCCTTCTCACCTTGGCCTTACAGTTGCCCAAGATCTAGAGCACTTTGTGAATATACAAAGGGAAAAGAAAATACAGCAAGTTCAAAATGTCATGTAAACCACCAGGGCCTCCCATTCTCTAGAAAATGCACAGCCCCGAGAAGAAGAGGTTCTCTGACTTCAGACCTTTGTGAAAACCCCGAAAGATTTATCCCCTTATCAACATCCCCAAATAATTTATTTGGATAAAATTGAGGGTTTCAACCCAAGAGAAAAAACTATAAGCATCTCTGGAAATAGAATTCTCATTCATGCTCAAAGTTTACATTTCTGACACTATTTCCATATGCCCTGTCAGAACGAGGAGGAGGAAGAGGAAGAAAAATGAGGCTTTAAAATCAGGACTTTGCTCGTCCTGTATTTTTATAGGCAGGAACAGTGCCCGATGCCACCTTTGAAGTCAGGGCTAAGGGGCCTTCCTTCTGCAGGGGCTTCAATATAGAGATCCAGGCCATGCCTAAATAAGATTGGGACCTGTGGGGTTGTCCTTAAAAAAAAAAATAGAAGGGAATCCAACTAATACTTTCAGAGAGATCAGTTTTGTGTGAGTGTGACCTTAAATGTTATTTAGAAAATTATTATACAATAAAACTGACCTTGTGTGGTGCACAGTGCTATGAATTTTAATGTGTGTATAGGTTTGTGTAACCACCACCATAATCAGGATACAGAACAGCTCAATCCTCCAAGGGAAAAAAAAAAGCCTTATGCTAGCTTCTCAAAGTCACCCCATGTCCTGTCTCGTATAATCTCACACCCTTCTTGTATTGTGTAGTTTCTTTCTTTTTGAGAAAGTCATATAAATGGAAATGTACAGTACGCATTCTTGAGACTGTTTTCTTTCATTCAACGTAATGCCTTTGAGAATCGAAGAAGTTGCTGTGTTTATCAATAGTTCATTGCTTTGTATTGCTGAGTGGCATGACCCCAAATGTATCCGAAACAGATCTCAATCAATTTAGAAAGTTTATTTTGCCAAGGTTAAGGACGTGCCTGTGACACAGTCTCAGGAGGTCATGATGGCACATGCCCAAGGTGGTCGGGGCATAGCTTGGTTTTATACTTTTTAGGCAGACATGAGACATCAATTAATATGTGTGAAACATACACTGGTTCTGTCCGGAAAAGCAGGACAACTCCAAGCAGGGAGGGGGCTTCCAGGTCACAGGTAGATAAGAGACAATCAATTGCACTCTTTCGAGTCTGTTTATCCTTTCACTGAAAACGCAATTCACACGTGAGAGGAGGATAGTCACTTATGCCTTAGTCTGGCTTAGTGAAACAATGTGGCAGAGGAAGCAATCAGATTTGTGTTTATCTCAGTGAGCAGAGGGGTGAGTAAGTTCTGTCTGTCCTTTGTCCACAAGGAATTGTGGAGGCAAGTTTGCCTGACTCAGGTCCCAGCTTGACTTTTCACTTTGGCTTGGTGATTTTGGGGTCCTGAGGTTGATTTTCCTTTCACAGTGGTCTCCCCACTATTTTTACCCCAGCATCTGATGAAGGCCATTTGCGTTCCTTCCATGTTTCAGTAATTATGAAGAAAGTTGCTATAAACATTTGTGCACAAGGTGATGTGTGTGGACATAAGTTTTCTTTTCTCCAGGGTAAATACCCAGGAGTGGGGTTACTGGATCATCTGGTAAACGTATGCTTAACTTCATAAGGAAACACAAAACTGTTTTTCACAGTGACTGTGCCGTTTTGTATTTTTCAAAGCAACGAATGAGTTCCAGTTGCTCCATAAGATCTCTCCACCTGGTGGTGTTAGGATTTTTATTTTAATTAGTAGGGAGTGGTATCTCATTGTAGCCTAATTTGCATTTCCCTAGTGACTAATGAAATAGAATGTTTTATCATGTGTGCGTCTGCCATCCATATATCTTCTTTGATGAAGAGTCTATTCAAGTCTTTGCCAATTCTTTAATTGGACTGTTTTCCTATTGCTGAATTTTGGGAATTCTTTACATATTCTGCATTCAATTCTTTGTCAGATATATGATTTGCAAAGATTTTCTCCCAGTAATAAACTTGACTTTTTATTCTATTGGTAGAGTCTTACACAGAATAAAAGTTCTTAACTTTATGACAAATATATTATTTCTATTCATTTTTCGAATGTGCTTTTGGTATCACATCTAAAAGCTGTTTTCCTAACTGCAGATCCCAAAAATTCTTTCTGTTCACTTAGAATCTATTTTTCCATTTGTTTCATGAGTGCTCATAATTGCTTATTGGAGGATGTTTATAATAGCTACTTTAAAGTCCTTGTCAGAAAATCTCTATATTTTTGTGACTTCATTATTGTGGTCTATTCATGATCTTTTCCCATGAATACTGGGATTTTCCTGGTTCTTAATAAGCAAGGAATTTGGGGTTTTATCCTGGACATTTTATATATGATGTTGTGAGACTCTGAGTCTTGTTCAATCTTGTCCACCAAGATCATAAGGTTGTTTAAGAGCTTGGGCATGAGGAAATGGAGAAAAGAAAAAAAACATGGGGATGTCCACACACTCTCTGAGTGTAAAAAGTTCCCTGAACCAGAACTAGAAGGCATCCCCGGGATCTCCTTGGAGCTCTGTCTTTGCCCCAAGGCTCACTTCCGAGTTTTGGGATCAGGTCTGGTGATACGAAAGGGCAAAACACGGCAAAGTCACCACCAGTGCGTATGGTTTGGTTCTGTGTCTCCACCATCTCACGTTGAATTGTAATCCCCAGTATTGGAGGTGGGGCCCGACAGGAGGTGATTGGATCACGAGGGTGGTCCTTCAGGAATGGTCTAGCACCATCATCTCCATGCTGTTCTCATGATAGTGAGCACATGAGTTCTCGTGAGATCTGGTTGTTTTAAAGTGTGAAGCACTTTCCCCACCCCCACCTTCCTCCTGCTCCTGCTATGTAAGACATGCCTGCTTTCCCTTCACCTTCCACCATGAGTCAAAGCCCCCTGCAGCCTCCCCAGAAGCAGATGCTGCCATGCTTCCTGTACAACTTGCAGAACGATGAGTCAATTCTTTTCTTGATAAATTACTCAGTGTGGGAAGTAGAAAAGTTCCTTTTGAAAGTCTCCTTTCTTGTTAAAGAATAAGTGTGCTAATAACTTTGTTAAGTGTTATCCTATGCAGCTGTGAAAAGACATACCATGTTTATGGGCACCTAGTATACTCTATGTCCTTATACTTTAACCAAGATATCTGTGGACATGCTCACAGGCATGTCCCAGCTTTCCATGGCTTTTACCAGTTTAGAAAAGTTTTAAGTTGTTAGCCAATCGGGTTTTAGTTCAGATTGTGAGGTCTGGCTCCAACCAACGGAGATCAGACACAGCAGTAAGGACGACCCGAAAGGCGTAAGGAACAAATTTGTGTGTATTCCTTTGTTTTTTGTACTCTCATGGCACAATGGCTACCAGGAGTACCCTTCCTGCAGTCCAGGAAGTAAAAATTGCATTGCTGAAAGATCCTTTATCTCAGTACTGATTTTTCCTTGCAGCACTGAGCATCCATTTCCAACATCTATTTCCAACACTCAGTCTCAGGTATTTCTTTAAGCTGTGTGACAATGGACCAATACAAAGTTTCGTTTGGTGCAACATCACATTCTGACCTTCTTCCCTGATTCACCTACAGCTATTTACTTTTCGGAGTCCTCACATTACTGCTCTGCAATGTTTTTCCAGGTTCTATGTCTTTATTCAGTGGGAGAAACAGAGTAGACTATATATACAACTTCTTATAAGTCAACCAGAATCTGTTAACTATCAGTTTTTGATTTTAAAAAAAAAGTTTCTTTTGAGTTGGGCTGTCCTTTATTGCACAGGCTGGAATGCAGTGGCACAATCATGGCTCGTTGCAATCCCAAATTCTTAGGCTCACACAATCCTCTCGCCTCAACCTCCCAAGTAGCTGGGTCTACTGGCATGCCCCACAAGACCCAGGTAAGTTTTTCTATTTTTTGTAGAGACAGAGTCTCACTATATTAACCAAGCTAGTCTCAAACTCCTGGCCTCAAGTGGTCTTCCCATCTTGGCCTTCCAAAGAGCTGGAATTACAAGCATGAGCCAATGCCCTCAGCCAGTTTTATAAAAATAATGATTCATTTATTCATTTAACATATATATTACAATTATCCTTGTGTCACAACCCTATGTATGTTTGCTACCTCTGCCTCTGGGATGTGAGCTTCTCTAGTTCACCTGCCTGGTTTCATTCATTCCAAGTCTATCCTAGGACTTGGCTTAGGATGAGACTTTGAAGAAACCCTTATAATGGTACTTAACATTAGAATGTAGCAAAAGTCAGAAAATCTAACGCAAACTAGTTTAAACATTTTTTTACGCTCATAACAGAGAAGTCCAGAGGTAGCAGGCTTCATGACAGGTCGAATCCAGCATTGTGTATGATTTAATGTCTCTCCTTCATCTATTTTCTGCAACATTGGCTTCATCTGTGGACTTTAACTTTGGACAATTCTGAGTTCTCATCTGTGGCAGTAAAATGGCTCCTGGATGTCTAGAATGCAGATCTTCACACCACACAAACTAGGGGAAGGAAAAAGGTCTCTTATTGTATCTACTACATAAGTCTTGACATTTTTACCATTTCCCTAGTCTTAATTGTTTTTTTTTTAAATTGTACTTTAGGTTCTGGGGTACATGTGCAGATCTTGCAGGGTTGTTGCATAGGTACGCACGTGCCATGGTTGTTTGCTGCCTTCATCCCCCATCACATGCATCAGGCATTTCTCCCAATGTTATCCCTCCCCAACCTCCCCAGCCCCTACTGTCTCTCCCCTAGCCCCTCCATCCCCAACAGACCCCAGTGTGTGATGTTCCCCTCCCTGTGCCCATGTGTTCTCATTGTTCAACACCCACCTATGAGTGAGAACATGTGGTGTTTGGTTTTCTGTTCTTGTGTCAGTTTACTGAGAATGATGGTTTCCAGATTCATCCATGTCCCTACAAAGGACACAAATTCATCCTTTTTTATGGCTGCATAGTATTCCATGGTGTATATGTGCCACATTATCTTTGTCCAGTCTATCATTGATGGGCATTTGGGTTGGTTCCAGATCTTTGCTATTGTAAACAGTGCCACAATGAACATACGTGTGCATGTGTCTTTATGATATAATGATTTATAATCCTTCGGGTACATACCCAGTAATGGGATTGCTGGGTCAAATGGAATTTCTATTTCTAGGTCCTTGAGGAATTGCCACACTGCCTTCCACAATGGTTGAACTAATTTACACCCCTACCAACAGTACAAAAGTGTTCCTATTTCTCCACATCCTCTCCAGCATTCTGTTGTCTCCAGATTTTTTAGTGATCGCCATTCTAACTGGCATGAAATGGTATGTCAATGTGGTTTTGATTTGCATTTCTCTAATGTCCAGTGATGATGAGCATTTCTTAATGTTTGTTGGCCTCACATATGTCTTCTTGTGAAAAGCGTCTGTTCATAACCTTTGCCCACTTTTGAATGGGCTTGTTTGTTTTTATCTTGTAAATCTGTTTTAGTTCTTTGTAGATTCTGGATCTTAGCCCTTTGTCAGATGGGTAGATTGCAAAAATCTCCTCCCTTGGAGGAGGGAGAGGCATTCTGGTCTTTGATGATTTCATCTTTTTTTGCACTGGTTTCTTCCCATCTTCATGGATTTATCTACCTTTGATCTTTGAAGTTGGTGATTTTGGATAGGGTCTGTGAGTGAATGTCCTTTCTGTTGATGTCGAAGCGATTTCTTTTTTTTCTTTAGTTTTCCTTCTAACAGCCAGGCTCCTGTGCTGTAGGACTGCTGGAGGGTCACTGCAGACCTTACTTGCCTGGGAATCACACCTGAGGGCTGCAGAACAGCAAAGATTGCTGCCTGATCTTTCCTCTGGTAGCTTCGTCCCAGAAGGGTACCCACCAGATGTCAGCTAGAGCTCTCCTGTGCAAGGTGTCTTTTTCGTTATACAGGGGTCAGGGAACTGTTTGAGGAGGCAGTCTGTCCCTTGTCTGCCTGCAGATGCACTGCTGGACTACCACAGGCTCAGTCCAGCTGCTATGTAAGCTTCCTCTGGCTTTTGTTTACACAGTTAAGATTAGAACTGCCTCAGCAATGGTGGACACCCTTTCCCTCACTGAGCTTGATCATCCCGGGTCGAGCTTGAACTGATGTGCTGGCTGAAAAACTCTCAAATGAGAGTGCTTCAGTTTGCTGGTCTTTGTGGGGGTGGGACCCGCCAAGCTGTATCTCCCGTCTTCCTGCTTTCAGCTCTCCCTCTTTCTGGGAAGCAGGAAGCTCCATCCCACAGGCACTCTAGGCATTAGTCAAAACGTCCACCCACATCTGTGCTGAAAACCCATGGCACTGGCCAGAGCTGCCTCTCAGATCTGTGCTGGTAACTCATGGCGCTTTTCAGCCCAGGGGGATCTCCTGGTCTGTGGGTTGCAAAGGCCATGGGAGAAGCACAGTATCTGAACCAGAGTGCCAGAGGGGAAAAGAGCCCAAGCCTCCAGCCAGCTGCACTTCCTGGGTGAGGCAGTGCCCTACTCTGCCTCAGTTTGCCCTCCTTGGGCTACACTCACTGTCCAACCAGTCCCGTTGAAATGAACCTGGTACCTCAGGTAGAAATGTGGAGGTCACTTGCCTTCTGTGTTGCTCTCACTGGGAACTGTGCTCTGGAGCTCTTCCTATTTGGCCATCTTGGCTCAGACCTCCTTAATTGGGTTTTGTGTTTATCCCTAAACCAATCATCAAAGCCAAAACGATAGAGTGTTCTGATTGGTTTAAGCTAATCTAAACTGTCATATACAGCTGAGTGTGGTAGGACTCCCACTCAAAATGCATGCCTGAGAATATAGGAAGTTTACATTTCCCAAAAGAAAATCAGACTATAAACAATGGGAGAAAGAATAGATGGATGCTATGGAGCAAATCATTTAGATTAATTTTAAATGTCAACATCAAAAAATATTGACTCACCCTGGCTTAATTATTTTAAATCATCTATTGGTTCAGGTAAATAACAAGTCCAGAAATTTGGACAGCAGGAGTGGCTTAATCAAGTTCCCTCTCCAATTTATCTCTTATCTTCTGTATTGTACCCTTCTCCTCATGCTCAGCCTGACCTTTCAAAATGACCCAACGGTTCTGGGATCCAGGTAACCATGTCTTTCACATTCAGAAGGAAATTTCCAAAGAAAATATGAGTTTTTCAATGATTGAGCCATATTATGGGAGAGTATTATATGTTGGTTGGCTTAAGCCTGGTTTCACTGAATGAATCATTGGTTCATTAAAGTAGGATTACTCTAGTTAGCTTAGACCAATCAGGGTGTACTGCCGTAGTTGGGGGTGGCGTCAGTTTCCCTCCGAGATATGAGCTACCTGGAAGACAGGTGAATATCCACAGAGAGTACTGCAAGGAAGGGACATGGATGATTTGATACTGGCTAGGCACATACACACACAGAAAAATTGTCAAAACTACCAAGTATAGCTACCAAATCTTTCCAAAGAAGATAATGAACCTTGTTCATTTTGAAATTCCAGAATGTTCAGTGTATGGCACTTAGTAGGCACTCAATCAATTTTTGATGACTGAATTAATGACTTAAAACAACAAGGCTCTAAGGAATAAAATTCTAATCCCTCTTAAAATAGGATTCACAATTCTAGGACTAATTCCAGTTGTAGGCACTATCACTGATATACTTTGCCATAGCTGTGTCTATGAAGAATTGTCAAAATATTTTGAAATTAGGTAATAATCTGATATCTATTGCGATTCTATCTTCTATCTTCAAAAGTCTTTTCTCAGTGAATACAGAGTATTGAGGACAAAGCAAAACAATGTAAAAATGTTCATTTCATATCATCTTATCTTGGCTTTCAGGCTAGGGGCTGTCATAAATTGACACGTCACAAAACTCAAAACATAGACGGTTCTTAGGAAGGAAGATGATGGTCGTTTATAACACCATACTCGATAGGCGGTTCTGATATCAAAGGCTATTGAATTCCAAGGAGGGTAAAAACTCTTCAGAATTCTTGGGTCAAGATGAGATTTGAACAGAGTACTGAGGATCAGGAAGATCTTTCTAAAAGTCAGGGCCAGTGTCAGATGTTAGGTGAGATGAGGTATTAGGTCCCCAAAGCAAAGGCTTAGAATCCAGAAAAGGCAAGGTGTGTGGTACCCAAGACCACTCACAGGACTGACGGCTGACTGTGAGGATTCCCAGTCCTCAGCATATTGTCATCCTCTTGGCTATGATGTATTACAGAAAAAAGCAAAATCAACAAAGAAAAAAATGGTGCATAGGTGAAGTCTAGCAGAAATCAGGCCCAAGCTTCCAAGGGTCTGTCCCATTGAAGTCAGACAAGATGTGCTACATTCCCCCAACAATGAGGTGTGGCAATGCATAGGAAGTGTTGTCTACCAGGGAAGATTATTAGAGACTCAGTGCCTGGAATTTTTATGGGGGCTGGCAGGTACCAAAATTCCAGACTCCCAGAAGAAAAACCTGTTTAACAGGAACCATGTTGTTTTGCGTGAAGAGTTTAGGCATAAGATGTCTCAAGTGTCACATGCTGCCTTGATGTCTTTGAGCCTCACAGGAACCCAAAACCCTAATCATGCGTTCTTCTGCTCTCACCAGATGTGTCCCCCACCCAAAAGGAAAGAGTCTCAGCTGTGCATGGTGGCTCACGCCTGTAATCCCAGCACTTTGGGAGGCCAAAGTGGGCGGATCATCTGAGGTCAGGAGTTTGAGACCAGCCTGACCAACATGGTGAAACCCCATATCTACTAAAATTACAAAATTAGCCAGGAGTGGTGGCACATGCCTGTAATCCCAACTACTCAGGAGGCTGAAGCAGGAAAATCGCTTGAACCCAGAAGGTAGACGTTTTGATGAGCTGAGATTGCGCCATTGCACTCCAGCCTGGGCAACAAAAGTGAAACTCCATCTCAAGAAAAGGAAAAAGAAAAAAAAGAAAGCATCTCTACCTGGCCAGTTCCTCTACCAGCTACCCCATCTGATCCTCAACCTCATGGTTGCACCTGCCTGCCAACCCACAGAATAATTGAAACAAGCCAATTGCATCCTCCTGCAGGGACCAGGGGCACCTCAACTTTTGGTTCCTACAAAGCCTGCCACCCACAGCCCTGGCTGGTTTTCTGTGCCCCCAGCATAACTCTGCATGGCCCTGCACGGTGTGCAATTTCCTCCTCCCCCCGGGGTGTTACTAGACGTGACTGATGAGCTGCCACCAAGGTTCATCAGGCTGTTGATTGGGCTCAGATCTGCTCCACACATGTGCACACGGGACCCAGTATAAAGGGACAGTAGCTCCTGTTATAAAGCGCACACGCTCATCACAGCAGATCCCCAGGAGCAAAGCGAGCCAAGCTGCACATTTAATCCCTTTATTCTCATCAATCACTTCTGCTGACTTCCAAACGGTCAAAGCAAGTCACAAAGTCAAACATCAACAGGGTGGGAAGTGTTCTCCACCTGCAGTGTGAAGGCAAGAGAGTGAATATTTGCTGAATGATCATCTAAACTGTCACACAAACCCTGGCCCTAGAGAGTGGCTGGAACAGCTTTAATGTTTTGATGAGTCATGATCTAAGAGGCTCTGAGATTGCTATTGCTTTAAAATTAATTAATACATGAAAATAAATGCCAGAATCTGACATCCCCTGAGGGATGAGTCAGTGGCAGCTAGTGCAAGCGTACCCCCCAGCCATCTGCCAGGACCTTCCAGTCTCAGAGGCACCAAGCGTGTTGGGCAATTGACCTGGGGGGTTCTGGCCAACCCAGGGACGGGAGATTTGAAATCGTCACTTGCCCCCGCAGGTGGAGCCGGCACATGCTTTAATAATTCCAAATTCAACTTTAAACTGCAGCTGCTGTCGTCACCTGGGGACCCCTATCTTTTAGTTGTTATTGTAGATCAGTTGCCTGCTGCTGCAATAAAGAACTCTCAATGGGTTGCCTGGAACTTCTAACTCAGTGCCACAGAAAACCTGGTGGATAAACTAGACGGGCTCCCGTTCAAGGGTGATTGGTGCCAGACTCAAGCAGGCAATCCTGGGGTCTTGGCTTCCTGGAGGCAGCCCCCGCTGCACACGTGGGCTCACGGGAGGACATTTGTTTCCCCTGCAGACGAGGGTGGTGGTGGTGTGGCTGGGCAGCAGTCAGGATGGAAGGTACCGGACAAACACCATGCTGTATAGCATTCACCTGTATCATCTGGCATCCGTGAAAAGGCACTTGCCAGCTTTCTTTAATGCTTGTTTGGTTCCCAACCATGTCCTTACCACTGTACAGTGAAGGGAACAGGGGCGGTTGGTCAGGCATTAGATCAGCCATCATCCCATAATCAAAAAATCAAAAAAGAATAGATGTTGGTGTGGATGTGGTGAAAAGGGAACAATTCTACACTGCTGGTGGGAATGTAAACTAGTACAACCGCTATGGAAAACAGGCGTGAGAGTCCCTAAATAACCAAAACTAGAACTACCATTTAATCCAGCAACCCCACTACCAGGTATCTACCAGGAGGAAAATAAGTCATTACACAAAAAACATACTTGCTCACACATGTTTACAGTAGCATGGTTCACAATTGCAAAAATGTGGAACCAATTCAAATGCCCATCAATCAATAAGTGGATAAAGAAACTGTGATCTGTGTGTGTGTGTGTGTGTGTGTGTGTGTGTGTGTGTGTATAGTATACATACATATATACTACTCAGCCATAAAAAGGAATGAATTCATGGCATTTGCAGCAACCTGGATGGGATTGGAGACTACTATTCTAAGTGAAGTAACTCAGGAAGGGAAAACCAAACATTGTATGTTCTCACTCCTAAATGGGAGCTAAGATATGAGAATGCAAAGGTATAACAATGACACAACGGACTTTGGGAACTCAGGGAGAAAGGGTAGGAAGGGAGTGAGGGATCAAAGACTACAAATTGGGTTCAATGTATACCGCTCGGGAGCTGGGTGCACCAAAATCTCACAAAGAACTTACTCATAGATCAGCTTCCTCAAATTGGAGTACTCACACCCCGGGGGATACATGAAAATTGTCTAAGGGTTCAGAGGCGTAGCCAGTTTTATGATCATCAATTTCCAGACCCTCTATTCACGTGTGTCCTATTCTTCACTTCCTCCTTCACAAATACCCTCTTTCATTATATTAAAAAATGGGTTATCAGTCAGGATACTAACACAAAACAGAAAGCATCCTCGAATTGGGTAATTTGAGGACAGTTTAATAGAGGACATGTTTTTAAAGGTGTAGGTGAAGTAAAGAAAGCCACAGAGGATGGTGAAGCTCTCTGGGGATAGTGGGGCCCTGTGCAGAGTTAGAGAAGAAAGAGGTTTCTAGAATCTGGAGACAGGAGAGGCTGTGTAGAATGTGAAGGAGCTGTGACCTTCCTGAAAGAGATGCAGCCACCCTAGGTCACCCCACAGGTAGAGCCCAACTTTATTCTTTCCTGCCCTCACTTCCAACCACTGTCAGGGAACATGACCTGGAGGCAGCAGGGAAGGGAGCCCGTAGCTGTGGTCCATGCAGCCAGCATCCCAGGACAGAAGCAGGATGGGGAAGGGTGGATGGTGGAAGATGTCCTCACACAACAGCCATCAACCAGCCTGCGTCTTACGAAGGTGTCTTCCCCTGCTGGGAAAAGTCCTTCAGGGCACCAGGCAAAGACACATTTTGAAATATTAGCCTGGGCACTGAGAACATAAACATCTCTGATAACTGTGTACCCCCCATCTGGGTCTGTAACTGGAACCACACCCTTTTACAGTCAGATTGTTTTCGATTCTTCACTTTCACGGAAATTGAAGAGGAACCTAATAGGAATGTCAGCTCATAGATTATCAAAAATATTTTTATAAATCGCTGTGTGATTTTTGGCACATAACCTGGAAGGAGTCCAAACAAGTGCATGGCTTCCAGCAGAAGGCCCCCATTCCCATCTGCCTATTTATGTGAATGAATGCTCGGTGCTTACGCCAATAAAAACAAAAACGGTGTGAATAAAATTGATGATGAAACCTGCCTCCTTAAAATAACAAGTAATATTCATGAATACATTAATGTAAAAAAAAAACTGTCCCACCTGTCATACTGAGAAGAATAGCCAAGAATTTTACTTTTCTCCAATTAGTGATTCTTTATCCTGAGCTCTGCCATACCTACGCTGCTTTGATCAATTGTGCTCTGTGAACAAGCAGAATGATCATTCATAACGATAAGTTTAAAAAAAACTTATTTTAAAATGTAAAGACTTATAGTCAGAGACATTTTTTAAATTTAAATTTATAAGCATATTTTTGTTGCAGTCAGTGATATGTGATAATCAATAAAAAAACTTCCTGTAGTCCCAGCACTGTGGGAGGCCGAGGCGGGTGGATCACAAGGTCAAGAGATCGAGACCATCCTGGTCAACATGGTGAAACCCCGTCTCTACTAAAAATACAAAAAATTAGCTGGGCATGGTGGCGTGTGCCTGTAATCCCAGCTACTCAGGAGGCTGAGGCAGGAGAATTGCCTGAACCCAGGAGGTGGAGGTTGCGGTGAGCTGAGATCGCGCCATTGCACCCCCGCCTGGGGAAAAAAAAGAAAAACCCCGCTTCATACCTGCCATAACTGATAAAAAAAAAAAAAAACTTCCAAGAATAAAACTATGATACATTATGATCAAATTGTTCTAGGGGAGTATAGGTTCAAGGGGAGAAAAGAACAATGCAAAATTCCTAACCCTGCAAAGCTTCTGTGTATTTTTTTTTGAATCAGTTATGGCAGGTATCAAATCATAATGGTCTTGAGCCTCAGTTGGACATTCTAAGTTATATTACAGTTTCCCCTTAAAATATCCAGTATTTACAACATGCTGAAAATTTTACCCATTTATTTATTTATTTTACATAAGTAACTGTCTTAAAAATATAAAATATATATGCAATTTATAAATATATAATTACATCCAAATATAAATTTAGACTCATAAAAATTTTAGTTGGTAGCTTAGGAACACAGAAGTATAGATATGATTTTTCAAGTTGAAAGAGATGCTAGGAGATGCATCTGCAGAAGTCAGCGGGATCAGATCTTTTTTTTTTTGAAGGACCTTGTTTGCTTATTACATTCTGGGAAAACAAGGAATGAAATAAGATAAAATTCACAGAGGATGTCTATTTCAGGTGTCCAATGACAAGGTAATAATGTGCTGTCGGAGAAGGAAAGATTGCTATGGGCCAGGGTGATCACAATGGGAGGCGGAGAGGAACAGAGATTAACCTAGGACCTAGAGAAGCATGTGTGAATCAGATCTGAGTCTTGGAGAAAAAGTTGCCAGGGAAGCTGAGAAAAAGAGGAGTGACGTAAGGAGCCTGGAGTCCTCCCACTGACCAGATCAGCCGGGTGACACTCATTTATTCTCAACCGTGACAATAGTGGTAATATTAGTAGTCAGTATTGATTGAACACTGTTTTTAGGCATTGGTCTGAGACATCTGGATATACAGATTTAGGCTCTGGGATTCTAGCACCCATCCTTGGCCACTACTCCACACAGCGTCTCTTGTGTTTCTTGGGTTGTTATTCATGCAATCTTCCTTCCTTTCTTTCTTTTCTTTCTTTCTTTCCTTTTTTTTTTTTTTTTTTTTTTGGAGTCTCGCTCTGTCACCCAGGCTGGAGTGCACCGGTGCATATCAGCTCACTGCAACCTCCGCCTCCTGGGTTCAAGCAATTCTGTCTCAGTCTCCCGAATAGCTGGGATTACAGGCACCCACCATCATGCCCAGCTAGTTTTGTATTTTTAGTAGAAACAGGGTTTCACCGTGTTAGCCAGACTGGTCTCAAACTCCTGGCCTCAAGCAATCTGCCTGCCTCAGCCTCCCAAAAGCACTGGAATTACAGCCGTGAGCCACTGTGCTCAGTCCCTTTTTTCTTTCTTTTAGCAAATAATTGTTGCGAGTTGACACAGGCGAAGCCGTTGGATACATTTATTCATCTTCATTGTTGCTAAGTTCTTATCTGCATTGCTTTCCTTAGAAAAGCCTCGCTCTCGGCATGGTTTGATTCTCCCCTTCCTGCTTAGGAAGGAGTGGTGACTCCCTTCTCCTAGGCTTGGAAGGGAACCATGGTCTCTCTGCTCCAGGGTCCAACTAGTCCTGGCTAATTCTTTGAGTGTCCACTGTAGAGGGAACAAAACTCCACTTTGAATCTCTTAGAGTCCCAGTTGGGCTCTAAAATGAAATTGACATAAATAGATTAAGAAGAGAAAAGCATACAAATTTATTTAGTTTTATGTGGCACAGGAGCCGTCTTAAGGAAATAAAGACCCAAAGAAGTGGTGAGAATCAGTCCCTCACATGCTGAATTGGACAGAGAATAGTGAGTTGTGAAAAAGCAGCTCACTCATGTGGGGAGACTGAAAAGATAAGAATTGTTTTAACAAGGTCTGTACAGGATTATCTCAGCTAGGACTCCCCGTCAAAGAATGTCTCTTTTCTCCTGGCACAAGGAGGGCATTTTTCACATGGGAATTTTTATCTCCTGTCTTCAGAAAGAAAATGTGAGATCAGAATGCCCTTTTTGCATCTGCTGTTTTCCAAGCACCTTCAGCTCACAGCAGTCCTCAAGTTGAAGCAGCATATTTGGGGTGGCATTCTCTCTCACCCTTCACCACCTTTCTCAAAACCCCAACACCTCTTCCAGCCTGCACCACGCCCTCCTGCCTAAAGTTTATAAAGTTTTACACGGGACATCTAATCATTTGGACACAGGGACTACCTATTACACTTCAGAATCTCCCCAAGATTTCTAGCTCAGAAACACCCTCTAAGATGAGATTTGAAATCTTGTTCAGTTGTGAGTTGCCCTCAAAATGGACAGTACCTTAAACAAGATAAAGTGTCCTTGTGTCTTATGTAAAGGTGGACAGTCTAAGGCTAGCACAGCGGCCCCTATGCCATTGAGGAGCCAGGTTCCTTCTAGCTTGTCACTCTGCCATGATCAGCAAAGGGTTTCTCACTCATAGCTCAAGGTGCCAGCTCCAGATCAGACGCCTGAGTCTGCATTCCATCTGGCAGATGGACAGAGGGAATGTTCTCACTCATTAAGATACCTCTCAGAATCTGAACACAGTAAACAGGTTTATATTCCCCCAACTCAAACTTTATAGCCACATCTGCCAGCAAGCCTGGATGGAAAATGAAGTTTCTATTCTATATGGCCATATGCCAAGTAAAATATCTAATAAAAAAAAAAAAGAAGGAAAACAGATACAGAGGAGGAGCCATCACAGTCTGCCAGAGCATCTCAACATATCCTCTCCATCTTGACTTGACCCATCTCTCCAACCCAGCCCCATCCTTCGGTTCTATTATCCCCTGAGGCTTGGAGATCAGGGCACAGAGCCTCCCTGTCTGTAAGCAGCCCTCCTCCCCATCACCCAGGAAAATCCTATCTTAGGAGTTACTAATACCAATGCTGAGCATTTCCTGGGTCCTTGTTCTCCTCTGACTTGTTACGTTTAGAAACTGCAAGAACATATTCACAGATGGGCCTTTCCATTAATTTATAATTTAATTTTCATCTTCTGAAGCAAAAATAAAGGTTATCTGCCCAGTTTGTCTGTCAGCTGTCACCAGGAGGTGAGCAGGAAGGGACCTTACATGTCAGATCTTTGGGTGGTGGCTACACAGTGCCCAACAGCTGTTTGAGCATGGCAAGCAGGAGCTCGTGACTACACAAGGTCTTAACCAGAACATCTGTCAGGATTCTTGCAGAAGAGGAATTTAGTCACTGTCGACCCTCTGGAAGGAACAGTAAATCAGCTTTTTGGAGTCTGAAGAGCCGGGAATAATGCTGTGTGTCATCCTGTGAGGTACTGATATTTCCACTAAAGACACAGGAACTATGAACTGGAGGAGAAACCCTGAGAAATGCCAAATTTAAAAATAATAATAATTTTTAAAAGTAAGCAGCTTAGGTGGTGATACCTGAATGAGTGCCAACCTTGTTCCTGGATCCCAAAGGGGAAGCCTTGATAAGCTCCGTGTACTAATGATCTCAAATATTTAGTTGAAGTAATGGTATAAACACCTACATTGCATCCAATTGTTGGACCACGGGGCATTTATTCTAACCATTTGCTTAGAAAGCAATTTAGACTTTAGAAAGGCCCCGTTGAAATATTTGTAAGATAGGAACCAGGAAATAAACAATTATGAACTAGGTGTCAGTTTACTTCTCCAAGTTACCATATACTTTATTTACTCTTGAGTTTATCTACACTGTTTTTTTCCAAGGAAAACTTCTAATAAAGATTCCTCAGAGTATTTTTCCCTTCTTTTTATTTTCTTGTGTGTGGCAAATAAACTATTGATTTTGTTTTCATGGTAATTTAAGAGGTAATTCAGTTCCAATTTGATAACTACCACCTTAATGTATTCAAAGTAAACAAATTTTAGGGTTTCCATTAGTTATTTTTGCCATGAAAATCGACCATATGGTGACAGGCACTGTGGAGATTGTTGTGTGGGCTGCTTGCACCCTAAGTTGTATGTGACGTTAATGATTTGGAGACCAATTGCCAAAGGGAAAAATTGGTATGAGACGCCAGGGAGGCTCATCCAGAGTTGTGTGCTCCTCGAGGGTAAGTTAACACTGGATTCCTTAGCGGAAAAGTGAATTGGAATGCGAGAATTCAACAGAATTGATTTCTAGTTAGGCCAAAAACATCTTTCGAATGTCTTTGCAGAGTGAGTGTGTTACTGGTTCACTGTGAAGGGAAAGAACACCCATTTTTAAAGAGGACGCTCTTCTTTGAAGACAGGAGTCCCCAATCCCTGAGTACAGACGGACACCAGTCCATGGTCGGTTGGGACCCAGGCCACACAGCAGGAGGTGAGCAGCAGGTAGGCGAACATTATTACCGCCTGAGCTCCATTCAAGCCTGTCCAACCCACGGCCCGGAGGCAGCATGCAGCCCAGCACGGCTCTGAACGCGCCCAACAAAAATTTGTAAACATTACGAATTTTTTTTTTTTTTTTGGTTAGCTCATTAGCTATCGTTAGCGTTAGTGTATTCTATGTGTGGCCCAAGACAATTCTTCCAATGTGACCCAGGGAAGCCAAAAGACTGGCCATCCCTGCATCCGACTCCCACAGGGGCGTTCATCTTGTGAACTGCGCATTGGAGGGGTCTAGGTTGTGGGTTCCTTGTGAGAATCTAATGCCTAATGATCAGAGGTGGAACAGTTTCATTCCGAAATGATCCCTCTCCCCCGCATTGAAAAATTGTCTTCCATGAAACCAGTCCCTGGTGTGAAAAAGTTGGGGACGGCTGTTTTAGGAGACATTAGGTTGTAAGTGACACAAAACCCATGTCCGACTGAACAAAGGAAAGGAATGTGTTGCCTCATGCCAAGAAAGCGCCAACGACGAGCTGGCTTTGAGCATATCCAAATCCAGGGACTATGACTCTTTTTCTCTCCATCTCAGCACAACCTTTTTGGCATCACCCTGAGGCACAGGCGGCCCCCACCCAGGTGGCTTAGAAGGCAGAGCTGACATCTCCCATCCTTCGGCCCCTAGCGAGGCCCAGGGTGAGCCTCTGAGTGGGTCCCGTGTCATTCCTCAGCCAATCATTGTGGCCAGAGGGAGGTGGAGCCTCGTTGGTCAAGCCAGAGCCACATGTCCACTTCTGGAGTTAGTCTGAGACCAGCAAAGCCGGGGTTCCCAGAGCAAGCTCGGAACATGGCCCCAGAAGTGTGGGGTGAGGGCTGGGCAGGCACAAGGCATGTGTCCACCACACGTCCATCCAGACACACACCTCTTCAGCCTCCAGAGTCAACCTGAAATCATCATGCCCCTGTCCCCATTGGCCTTTGGATGCTGGGCCTCATTACCCCATCTCTGTCCCCAGCTACGAACATAGGCTACCCCCTGAACCTCTGCTTCCAGAGCTTGGCTTTGCCTTCCTCCCTCTTCAGTTCCAATTCCTGGGAACGTCCCACATGCCCTCTTCTGACCCCAGCTCACTCCACTTTCCTCTCGGATGTCCTGACTGGGTTTCCAGCTATGTCACTGGTCAAGCATCTGAGCTCCCTCATCCATGTGTCTGTCCTCTCTGACATCAGCTTGCCAACGACCAGTGAGCATGTGGGTGAGAACCGCCTGCAGAGAACAGCCCTGCTCCCTTGCCCACATCAGGAAATACCAAACATGAACCCACCATTTTCTTCAGTCATTAAGTGGCCTTGGCCCAAAAGCCATAAAACTCTGACGCAATCCAAGTTTTCATAGGAATGAAACGAAATAGTGACTGGCTTGTATGGATGTATTGTGTAAGTGCGTAATTTTGAAATAAAATGTGAGGTTACTGTTTCGGTCAGAGCATTTTTATCATTTTAAAATGTGAAGAATGAAAAAAGAATTAAAATACAGTACAAAATGTCTTTATACTGTAGGATTAGACCAGACCAAAACAAAATTTAGGTTTTTTTTTTTCCTCAACTTCCTCGAAATAGAGATCATTCCCTCTGAGCAACTCCAGCCTTATTGTTCTGTATAAGTGGTGGAATTCCAGCTGCTGACATAATCAGAAGAGTTTTATTGTGTTTTCTGCAGAGGCTGCAGGATGCAGAGTTCAGTGTGTGGCTTCTAGAACCAGACACCTGGGTTTGAATCCTGTCTTGGCCACTAACTGCACTGTATAACCTTGGGTAAAATACTGAGCTCACTTTCCTTATTGTGAAATGAAAATAATCATGCTGTGAGGACTAAAGTAAATATCTGTAAGATGTTTGGACTGAAGCTGGAGCATCTATCCAAGGTGCCATTAATATGAAGTTGACTTCATATTTTAAAATGCTTTGCAAACTGTCAAGTCTTGTGCGGAAGTGTGTTGTTGGTTTTATTCTTATTCCATCCATGAGTTTATGTAGCTAGGACAATCATTATCAGCAAAGACAGGTCATGTTTTCCTGGCTGGTTTCCTGGCCTCACATATGTATATACTCCTTCATATTGTGTAATCCAGATTTCCTCAAGAGACATCAAGCCAGACCCTCCCCATTTTCTCCTTGCCTAACAGGAAGTTCAATCTTTTCCTGGGTTCCTAACCCCAGATGATTTCACAGAGCTTCTCTGTGATCTGCCCTCCCCAGGCTCCATCCCGCTATCCTGGTGCTATCCCTGCCTCATTTCCCTTATGAAGAAATGACCACAACAGTTCCAACTCCCTTACCTGCACAATACACATGCTTCTTTATGCACAGTGTCTGTGGGACTTAGACCTTGGTCAAGCTGACAGAGCTGTCAGCAGAGACAGGGCCAAAACCTGGGTCTCCCGTCTTCCTCAGGCTGCAGTCTACAAAACACAGTCAGCATTCCAAGAAGATTCCTGATGTAATGGGAAAGGCGCTGCATGGCCCTCACTCATTTGGCCAGTCATTAACTCACTAATCATTCAACAAATAGTTACGATGTCTGCTGTGTGCCAGGCACTGTTCCAGGTAAGAGGACATTGGCTCTGCATTATGTAAAAGAAAAGAAAAGAAAAACTGACTGATTTCTTCTGGAAAACACTTTTGTTCCATACTGTGAAAGTATTAGTGGTTGCAGGATTTTTTACAGGAGGGTCTCAGATGTGGCAATGTTCTGGAAGGAGGAACGATACAGACATTGAGCACTCATGCATATCTGCTCCTCCCCTCCTTCTAGAAACAGAGGAAAATGACTCCTGTATTAGTCTGTTCTCACACTGCTAATAAAGACATATCTGAGACTGGGTAATTTATAAAGGAAAGAGGTTTAATGGACTCATAGGTCCACATGGCTGGGGAGGCCTCACAATCACAGTGGAAGGTGAATGAGGAGCAAAGTCACATCTTACATGGTGGCAGACAAGAGAGCTTGTGCAGGGGAGCTCCCATTTATAAAACCACCAGATCTCATGAAACTTACTGCCATGAGAACAGCCTGGAGGAAACTGCCCCCATGACCTAGTTATCTCCAGCTGACCCGCCCTTGACACATGGAGACTATAATAATTCAAGGTGAGATTTGGGTGGGGACACAGCCAAACCATATCACCTCCCCTCCCCTTGAAGTTAGGTGGAGCCATGGGGCATGTTCTAGGCAATTGGCGTGGTTGGAAGAAGATGAAGCTTTCACTTCAGAGTGAAGCGCTTCTGGGGCTCTCTGCCCTGCACCACGGTGGTGCCGGAGCTGTGAGGTGGACACTGCAGGATAGAGGCCAGCTGGGTGGCTGAGTCCACACGGAGAATGCTGCCCACGAGGGACATCTGGACTCACAGCTGATGTTTTGTGAAAAAGAGAGAGAAGTGTTGCTGTGATAAATGGCTGCAATTTGGGGATTGTTATTAGAGCATTTCACAGTCTTTCCTGACTGATATGGGATCGGGAGAAAGAGGAGAAAGTTTAGGATACTGGTCTTGAAGCTGAATTTACAGAGTGTCACACTTTCTACTTGGAGTGTAGGTCCCTAGAAGCAGCAGCAAAGCAGTTTCCTAGATATTCTCTTACGTAACTCTGCATGTGTATTTTCCTTAGTACCCTCTGAGGCAGGACAGAGAGAGAGCACTGCCCGGGGCGTGAATGGACTAAAGCTTCTCTTCCCACGTTCCTCCCTAGAAACACTATTAATTAAAAAGTAATAAATAATAATAGAATCGGTAAATACATTTTACTTTTACACTAAGGAAAGTTAAATATTAATAAATAAACTCAAGGACTTGGATATTTAGGAGTCTCCTTTTTTTTTTTTTTTTTTTGAGACAGAGTCTCACTTGGTTGCCCAGGATGGAGTGCAGTGGTGTGATCTTGGCTCACTGCAACTTCCTCCCCCCAGGTTTAAGCAATTCTCGTGCCTCAGCCTCCTGAGTAGCTGGTATTACAGGCTCCCACCATCACACTCAGCTAGTTTTTTTTGTATTTTTAGTAGAGATGGGGCTTTACCATGTTGGTCAGGCTGGTTTCAAACTCAAGTGATCCATCCACCTCAGCCTCCCAAAGTGCTAGGATTAACAGGCATGAGCCATTGCGTCCGGCATGTTTAAGAGTTTCTTAAGGGCCAGCTCTCACTGTGGCTTAATTAAGAAACTCAGCTGAGAAGCATCAGGCCATTAAACAGAGGTTGACAGAGCCACGGTTGATTCAGGGCTGGATAGAAGCATGGCCTTTATTAGTCTTCTTCCCTTCTATGAAAGCAAAGCAGGTTTGTGTTCCACTTGGGGACTAATCCATTTGTCACTGTGAAGTCTCTAAGGACAGAGATGTCCATTTCAAACCTCATTTGCAGCTGCTCTTAGTGGTTTTAGAATGGAATTCATCTGCTTCGACCTCTTGTATATTTGGTTACCTCCTGCAAATATCTAGTGCCCACAGTGAAATTCCTGTATAACATTAACAATTTGTTTTCCTTGATATCAGCTCTGTTTGTCACCGGCTGGAACCCAGGCCCATAAAGAAATGTCACTTTTGGTCTCTTTGTAATAGTTTTATGCAAATAACATCGAAGTCTTCGCTCTGCGATAATAATTTCAAGAAGAAAGAAGACTGGATGGGGAGGAGGGGGGTGGAAGGAGGAAAGTAGAATGTAAAAGAGGAGGAGGGAAAGAAGGGGGCGGTGAGGGGCGAGGTGGAGTCATGGAGAGAAGGGAGTCCTGGGGAAGGAATAGTACAAGGGTGTCCATGAGCAAATAAAAACACACCTCTGCCTCTACAACATGGTGGAATGGTGGTCAAGGCCAGTAGCCCTGAGCAGCTTGGAGCATTGTCAGGGACAGATGGGATGGGGTGTGAGCAATGCTATGGAGAGGACCCAGTGCTCCTTCCACAATATTCCAGTGCCAGCAGTGCACGGAATGCCATGCCAGTAAGTCAGAGAGCAGAGAAAAGGTTTTTGAATTCAGATCAACTCATTCCCAAGGGGCACACAAACACCGTGCAAGAGTACCTGGGTGTGGACCTCAAACTCAGTGTGTTCTCATGCCATGCAGTGCTCACCCTGAGAACACGCTTGCGTTCTTTCCCATCTCCTCTTTCAGAATCACCCTTTTCCCTTTTAGAAAAAAAAAAAATAGTACCATCTTCACTTATCCAGAGCCTTCC